CGCAGGCTGCCCAAGGGGGACTGGGGGTCTGAACAGACACACAGGCTCCCCTGCAAACACGAGAGCTCGTGTGTGGTCGGTCCACGTACATATTCTGTCCTGCTCTGAGATGGAGGACAGGTGTCACACGCACACGTGTGCACGCACACCCACACCCACGTGTGCACCCACACCCACGCGTGCACGCACACCCACACCCACGCGTGTGCACCCACACCCACATACACGTGCACGCCCATATTTGCTTTACTGTTAAAGCTTTTTGGATAGGCTTCTCGTTTTGACGAGCGCTTTTCCTCCAAATGATGCCTGGTGTTGGTGCTCCTGGGGGTTCCGTGCTCCTTGGGGCCTCCAGGCAGACAGGCTGGCCTCTGGCATGGTCCAGTGGGCATCCCGGGGCCGGGTGGGGACGTGCTGGCCGCCCAGGCCCCCTGACCAGGCGTGTCGTGCCCGTCCACAGCATCACTGCCGGGCGTGTGGGCAGATCTTCTGTGGCAAGTGCTCCTCCAAGTACTCCACAATCCCCAAGTTCGGCATCGAGAAGGAGGTGCGCGTGTGTGAACCTTGCTACGAGCAGCTGAACAAGTGAGCCCCCATGCCCGCCCCCAGCTCTCTGGGTGGGAGGTGACGTTCTCCGAAACCTGGGCTTATCTCCCAGCCACCGCGCCCGGGACTGCGGGTCTGGGGGGCTCTCCTGTCCCAGGCCTTGCTCGCCACTGCACAGGCCTACAGTGAAGGCAGCGGCATCTCTTCAGGCCTTGGTGGGTGTCCAGCTTTAGAGCAGGTACAGCGCTAATGAAGCTTTGAGCAGGACCTGAGGAGGGTTAGGCTTGTACCCAGATGCTCACGGTCCCGTGAGGCTGAACACGCGCACCTGGAGGCAGGTGAGTGTGGTGGATCCTCTCAGGTGCTGGTGGCCGCATCCCCTACAGCCAGGGCGGGTCCGGGGAGAGCAAGGAGACGACCGGCTCGTTTTCTGTTCGCTTACAGCTTTCCACGTTTCCCTTCTCTCCTGTATGAGGGCCCCAGGTTACCACAGCCAGGGAAAAAGGCCTGTGTGCAGAGATAAACTCCACTGATCTGTTAAGGACTTAACCAGCCCAACTTCAGGGAGCACTGAGCCTGTTTCGGAGCAGACGGAACAGAGCTGGCGCGGGGTTGGTTCCGGTGCAGGCGCTGCCGGGCCCTGTCAGTCATGCAGGCCGAACAGTCGAGTCCACCTGTGCCCCTTAGAGCACGCGGGAGCAGGGCAGGGGCTCTGCCAGGTGGGGGCCTTGGGTCTCTGTCTGCAACAGCGGCAGCCATGGTCAGGGCAGCCCAGTGGCCTCTCCAGGGTCACAAGGCTGGACACGACAGAGCTGCGGTTCAAAGAGCCAGAGTGCTGGCTGCTTCTCTGAAGGTGTGCGTGTGGCCTGAGGGATCCTGTCCTCTCCCCGTGGGGACGCCGTGTGGGACCTGGGGGTGTCACTGGCACCCATTGGGGTCAGCGTCTGGTGTCCAGCACCTGTGACCTGCAGCACTCTGTATGCCTCCAGGAAAGCAGAGGGAAAAGCCGCCTCCACCACTGAGCTGCCGCCCGAGTACCTGACCAGCCCCCTGTCGCAGCAGTCCCAGGTACGCCCCTGAGCCAGCCTCCCTCCCCGGGTCCCCTGCCTCTCCCAGAGCCTCACCCGGCCTGTGTCACAGCTGCCCCCCAAGAGGGATGAGACGGCGCTGCAGGAGGAGGAGGAGCTGCAGCTGGCCCTGGCTCTGTCGCAGTCAGAGGCCGAGGAGAAGGAGCGCATGGTGAGTGCAGGGCTCTCCCAAGTGTCAGGGCCCTGGGGTGGGGCCGGGCGTGTGGAGACACTGTCCCTTGTCCCTGTCATGCTTTCCGGTTTTTTGCAGAGACAGAAGTCGACGTACACCACATACCCCAAGGCGGAGCCTGCTCCTGTGGCCTCGTCCGCGCCCCCCGCCAGCAGCCTGTACTCCTCGCCTGTGGTGAGGCTTGCCTCAGCCCGCCTGCTGCACACACCTTGGCTCGGGCAGAGGGCCCAGGACTTCTCTGGGGGGGAGGGCCGGTGGGCCATCACGGTTATGTGGGTGCAGGGACAGCCGTGTGTGTTAGGGGCAAAACCAGGCTCTCAGCTCTTGGCTCCTTGGTCAGTGTCCTTGCGGGGCAGGAGAAGCTTGGGCAGAGGTGGGAGCTACAAAAGCTCCGGTCTCTCCCAGACCCTCCCAGGGCGGGACAGGACGCCCGGGTCCAGGGAGCCCTGCCTTCGTCCAGCCCTCTCTGGTCGCTGAAGGACTTGACGGGGATCATCCTGACTTCTCGGGCCTCGGCTTCATCCTAAAAGGGGACATTGCACCGCGTCTGCTTCGGAGTCGGGAGGCTGGGGGTGGGGTTTTGGGTGTGGCGAGGCGGGGCGCAGACGTCCACCCCACCCTGGGGGCACAGCAGTTAAGGGCAGGCATGGAGCGTGAAGCCCGGCACCCTGCCTGTCCTGGTTTGACGCCCTGGCCCCTCCTTCCTGAGCTGCCAGGGCCCCAGGTGCAGGAGAGTGGGGAGACAAGGGCCGGCCCACGGCTGCACCTGGATCCAGCGAGGCGGTGACTGCAGAACCGCTGTGTGGGGCCCCCGTGGGGGGGCGGGGTGCACAGACCACCTCGCTTGGACCCTTCTAGAACCCTGAAATCTCTTCAGGGGAAGGAAAAGAGACTCCCCGACACCCGCCTGCGAGTGTGTGATGGGGCGTGGCCAGGGCCATGACCAGAGGGCACGGCTGGGTTGTGGGATGGGGACCCGAGGGGCGGGGTCTCCTATGCGGCTGTTGGTCAAGGGTTGGGGGACAGGCCGCTCTGGAGCCACTCTTGGAGGGGGCAGAGATAAGCCAGAGGCCGGCACTTGGCCAGCCTTGGGGACCGCCATGGAGCCCTCAGCCATCCGGCCCTGCGTGAGCAGCTGCCCCCAGCAAGTGTGGGGCATGAGGGTTTGAGCCTCTGCTTGCTGCTGCCTGCAGAACCCCTTTGGGGGCCTTGACTCCACAAGACCCTCTTTCTCTCCCCCAGAACTCATCAGCACCTCTGGCAGAGGACATGGACCCTGAGGTAAGGCCCACCCGTGGGGGACACGTTTCTCTTGTGTCCCCTGCCTGAGAAGTGACTTCTGTGTTGCTTCTGCAGCTCGCTCGGTATCTCAACCGTAACTACTGGGAGAAGAAGCAGGAGGATGCACGCAGGAGCCCCACACCCTCGGCACCCGTGCCCCTGGCCGAGCCGGCCGCCCTGCCCAGGGAGGGGCACGTGGCCCTGGTGAGCACAGTGGAGGTGAGGGCTGCGCCGGCTCTCCTGGCCCTCGGTCCCTGGGCGTATGAGGGACTGGAGAGGCAGGAGGCCCACTCACCCTTGGTCTCTTTCAGACGCCCCTCCCGGAGTCTGACTCTCAGCCCATAGCGCCTCCTGGTGGCCACTTCAGTGAGGTAAGCTACGGTTGGTCCTCCACCAGCAAGGGAGGTGTTGAGTGCAGAGACCCGGTAGAGGTCTCCCTGTCGTGATGGGCGTGCTAAAGCGCGGGACCCAGCAGAGGCCCCCCTGTCGTGACGGGCGTGCTAAAGCGCGGGACCCAGCAGAGGCCCCCCTGTCGTGACGGGCGTGCTAGAATGTGGGAACCAGCAGAGGCCCGTCGTGACGGGCGTGTTACAATGCAGGGCCCAGCAGAGGTCCTGTCGTGATGGGCATGCTAGAGTGGGGGACCCAGCAGAGGCCCCCGTTATGACGGGTGTGCCAGAGTGTGGGACCCCGCAGGGCCCCCCCTGTTGTGATGGGTGTGCCAGAGCGTGGGACCCAGCAGAGACCCCCTGTCGTGACGGGTGTGCCAGAGCGCGGGACCCAGCAGAGGCCCCCCTGTTGTGACGGGCGTGCAGAGTAGGGGAGCCTGTGCAGCCACACACCTCCCTGGTCACCTCCCGGAGGCGGAGAATGCAGGACAGGACAAGTCTGTGCTCGGCTGTGGTCTGGGACATCAGGGTCTTGTTCTTCTTGCCCTCACGGACCTGCATATTCCAGAAAAACTCAGAACCCTCTAGATTGGTTGCTGGTGTTTCCTGGGGCATCTGGGTTCTGTTGGCCGGAGTCAGGGACCAGGCTGTTCAGGGAGGCAGCCCCACACCCCCTCTCCCCATGCCCGTGGTCACCCAGCCCGGGGCGCTGACCAGGCAGGGACAGAGGCTGGCTTGGCCAGCTCGGCCCCTTCTCCTGCTCTGCCCATGGGCACATTGCTTTACCGCCCTGGCCTCCATTTTCTCGTGTGTGAAATGGGGGTGTGCCTGGCGCTTACCCCAGAGTGGTGGTGAGGACCCAGCCCTCAGATTGTACCAGCACCCTGAGCGCCCATCCTGTCCACAGCGCCGGCACCCTGAGTCCCCAGCCCGCCCACAGTGCCGGCACTCTGAGTCCCCGGCCCGCCCGGGAGCTGCTCAGTGGCCCGCTCTGTCCCCAGCAGCAGTACCAGAACGGGGATTCGGAGGAGAGCCACGAGCAGTTCCTGAAGGGCCTGCAGAACGCTGTCACCACCTTCGTCAACCGTATGAAGAGCAACCACGTGCGAGGCCGCAGCATCACCAACGACTCGGCCGTGCTCTCGCTCTTCCAGGCCATCAACAGCATGCACCCACAGCTGCTCGAGCTGCTCAACCAGCTGGACGAGCGCCGGTGTGCGTGCTGCCGGGACCGCGGGGACGGGCCGGCCCTGGTTCTCTGAGCGCCCACTCAGGGCCCCAGGCCTCAGCAGGAGGTGGTCACGGGCGGTCAGCGCAGAATTGCCCCCCTGCCCGGTGCCCAGCAGATCCCCTCAGAGAAGCACGGGGTGGGCTTGCCCTTTCCCAAGACCGGGTGGAGGGGGGACCGGGCCGCCCAGGGCAGCAGTGCCAGGCAGTGCACGCCGTGTCGGTGATACCTGGATCCTGCAGCCTCCATCTCCAACACGCTCCCCGCTCTCTCCCCACAGTGTACTACGAGGGGCTGCAGGACAAGCTGGCTCAGATTCGCGATGCCCGGGGAGCACTCAGTGCCCTGCGTGAGGAGCACCGGGAGAAGCTGCGCAGGGCAGCCGAGGAGGCCGAGCGCCAGCGCCAGATCCAGCTGGCCCAGAAGCTGGAGATCATGCGGCAGAAAAAACAGGTGCGGCCGCCTAGGACATCAGCACTGCTTCTGGGGGCAGGCGGCGCATAGAGGTGCAGCGTGGGGGCCCGGGGCATTGGCACTGCTCCTTGGGGCAGGCGGTGCACGTGGTGCAGGGCGGGTGGCCCAGGGTGTCAGCACTGCTCTTCGGGGGGCGGGGGGTGCACAGGAGTGCAAGGCAGCCACCCTGACCACCGCGTCCCACCCTAGGAGTACCTGGAGGTGCAGCGGCAGCTGGCCATCCAGCGCCTGCAGGAGCAGGAGAAGGAGCGGCAGCTGCGCCTGGAGCAGCAGAAGCAGACAGTGCAGATGCGTGCCCAGATGCCGGCCTTCCCGCTGCCCTACGCCCAGGCACGTGCCCACCCTGCCCTACCCCTGCCTTACTCCCCAGCACATGCCTGCCCATCCCCTCCAGGCATGGAGCTTCTTTTTGCCCTGCGCCTGGGCATGAGCCCGTCCACCCTCCCTGCCCTACGCCAGGCACACCCACCATCACCCTTTGCCTTATGCCAGGCATGTACCCGCCCTGTCCTTCACCCCAGCCCTACTCCCAGGTACACATCCGCCCTGTCACCTTTGCTCTACGCCAGACACACACCTGCCCTGTCATCCCCTCCCCACCTGGAGACCCTACTGAGCCTGGTGCTGACAGTCACATCTTTTCTGTTCTCAGCTACAGGCCATGCCCACGGCTGGGGGTGTGATGTACCAGCCCTCAGGCCCCACCAGCTTCCCAGGCACCTTCAGCCCGGCGGGTTCGGTGGAAGGCTCCCCCATGCACACAGTGTACATGAACCAGCCCACTCAGGCCAGCGGCCCCTACCCCAGCATGCCTGTGACAGGAGCAGGTAACGGGCTGGGGGCAGGAAGGGGGGCGCACCCAGCCAAGATGAACCTCACGCCCGTCTTTTTTTTTGTCTTTTTATTTTGGTGTAATTTCAGACTTACAGAATAGCTACAAGAGTGGTACAATTTCCCAGACATCAACTGTTAACACTGCCCCATTTGCTTTGTCTTGTTTCTCTTTTCACAGGTGTACACACACACGTGTGTGTGTACACACGCACGTACATATACACGCACGTGTGTGTACACAACATTTTTTCCTGAGGTGCAGACTCAACCCCCCTTGCCCCTGAGCACTTGAGTTTTCTAACACAGGCCAGTCACTCAGCCTCAGGACAGTGACCAAATCAGGAAATGCTGGAGCTCCTGCCACATGAGGATCCAGTATGCTGTCTTTGTCCATACAGAAAACCCATGTCATGGGCCACGTTCGGTCGGTGGCCTTTAATCTGGAACACTCCTGGGTTTCATGACACGGCCGTCTCGTGTGCATGCCGTGGTTTTGTGGGGCACCCTCAGAGTAGCACTGCTGTAACAAATACCGCAAGTGGGTGGCGTTAACAAACAACCTTATTTTCTGACAGTTCAGGCAGCTAGAAGTCTGAATTCAGGGTGCTGGGTCTAGAGGAAGGCTCTCTCTGAGCTCTGGAGGAAGGTCCTTGTCTCTGAGCTTCTGCTCCTGGGCAATCTTCACGTGGCTTGGTATCTCTCTCCCCCCCCGTACTTGTTGGCTTGCTTATTTTAGTCTCTTATATCTCAAGGAGCCCTGGTGGCACACTGGTCGTTAAGAGCTCAGCTGCTACCCAAAAGGTTGGCAGTTCAAATCCACCAACCGCTTCTTGGAACCCTGTGGGGCAGTTCAGCTCTGTCCTATGGGGTCGGAAACAGGTTTGGTTTTTTTGGTTGTCTTAAGAGACGGACTCGAGACGCACGGTACGCTGATCCTTCGTTATTAACGTTAACAAAGACGATCTGTTCCCAAATGGAGTTACAACCACAGGCATAGAGCTTAGGATTTACAGCACATATTTTGGGGGACACAGTTCGCTCCTCCGTAACAGGCTGTCTGGGCTTGGCTGGCGATGGGCGGGGGTGGCAGAGCCATGCCGTTATCAACACGTGTCAGGTTATTCCGTCGATGCTGACAGTAACAGTGGCCTCATGGCTCAGGTGGTGTCTGCTGGGTTTCTTGGCTGTGAAATGAGTTTTTCTTTCTTTGTAATTAACGGGTATCTTAGACTATGCAAACATCCTGCCGCTCCGTTTACTGGTTGTTATCAGGAGGCATTTCTCCCCTTTTTACTTGTCATTTATATCAACGAGGGCTCACGGGTTCCTACCGTGTCCCGAAGCGTATAATGCCTTACTGCAGCTGTTGACGATGATGGTCAGACAGAGTTCGTGGGGCTCCGGGTTCCTACCGTGTCCCGAAGCGTATAATGCCTTACTGCAGCTGTTGATGCTGGTGGTCAGGCGGTCGTGGTGTGGCTGTGGCCCCCTCATTTTAGAACGCTTGTTTCTGTTCATCTAGTGCTTTCTCAGCCCTGGAATTGGCCATTTCTCCAAGGAGCCCAGACAAGCGAAGGCTGGTGTCAGGGCACAAGGCCTGGTTGGGTGGCTCCCCGCCCCAGGCCTTCTCAGCACATGGAGCTGGGAAGCACACGTGTGTACAAACACACACACAACCCTCTAGCTCAGGGCTTCCCTTCTCCACCTCTGTGCCCCCTCCTGGTGGAAGGCTGGCTCCTCATCCTCCACAGACGTACTCACTGGGGTCTGGTGTTTGTGACCTTGTTTCCAGCCCGAGGGTGTGGAGCCCACATGCGGTCTGGTGCCTGCATCAGTCCCCCAGCCCCTTTAGTGCAGTGATGTGATTCCCGGGGTGGGGTTCTGTTTTCCTTCATCCTGGGTTCCCTCTCCCCATCTTCCCCTCCCCAACCCCCCCAGGCTGGCCCTCTCATTGGTCTTGTCCCCCACAGATCCCAGCATGGTGAGCACCTACATGTACCCGGCTGGGGCCACAGGTGGGCAGGCGGCGCCCCCAGGCCAGGCTGGGCCCACCACCAGCCCAGCCTACTCATCTTACCAGCCCACCCCCACACAGGGCTACCAGGTGAGCAGGCAGGGGGGCTGCTGCTCTGGCCACACCTGGGCTGCACCGCTTCTCACTGTCCCCTCCCCCTGCAGAGTGTCGCCTCCCAGGCCCCACAGAGCCTCCCGAGCCTGCCCCAGCCGCTGCAGACCGGGACCATGGGCTACATGGGGAGCCAGTCGGTCTCCGTGGGGTACCAGCCCTACAGCATGCAGGTGAGACCACGAGACTCTGCCAGGCACACGGTGTGGCCCAGATAGCTGTGGGGGTGACGGCCAGGAGTGGACATGGCTGAACAGCTGTCGCAAGAGCCCGCGGCACACTGGGTACAAGGCTTCTCTGCCCGGCGCCCCCTCCGACCGGCGCCCCCTCGTCCACTCCCGGCCCCTGGCTGCTTTGTCCTCTGGTCATGTAGCCTCTGTCCATCGGCTCCCGGTTCCCTCAGCTTCGTGTTTGTTTCCTTCCCCAGAACCTCATGACCACCCTCCCCAGCCAGGACGTGCCTCTGCCCGCCCAGCAGCCGTACCTCGCGGGGCAGCAGCCCATGTACCAGCAGGTGAGCACCTCGCACCGGGCTCCCGGGTGGCCCCCAGCTCAGTGAGCACCACCCCACCAGCCCGCTGAACCCACCGCCCCTTGTGGGCAGGGTCCTGGGGAGAACCAGGTGCAGTGTAGGCGGGGATTTGCATCCAGGCCTATTGGCAGATAGAACCGGGAAACGCGTGCCTGTGTGTACAAACACACGTGTATGTGTGCACAGGTATGCGTGTATGTGGTGTATCTGTAGATACCAAACACCACGTTTGGGAAAAGCCAGAAATGGTGAATGTCCAACCCGTCAGGCGTTGGACGGAGGTGGGCCGAGCTGGGCTTCAAGAGGACCAGCTTGGTGAGGCCGGGGTGAGGGATTGCGGCCGGGCTGGGGAAGGAGACCCAGTGGCTGGTTTCCCCTACAGATGGCACCCACCGGGGGCCCCCCACAGCAGCCACCGCCCGTGGCCCAGCAGCCGCCTGTGCAGGGCCCTCCAGTGCCGGGCAGCGAGCCCCAGCTCATCTCCTTCGACTGACCCGCTGGGTGCACGCCGGCCTAACACTATGGCTCTTCCAAGGCTGCCCGTGTCTAACTCGCCACCGCCTCTCTCCCCTGCTGTCGTGTGTGTCCTTCTCGTGCGGGCGGGCAGGTGGCACCCCCACCTCTGGGCACCTCAAGTCCACCCTTCACCCCCGCTGTCCCCCTCCTGTCCTTAGCCTGCAGCCCCTCATCCTCCCTGTTCCATTGTCATCACTGTCTCATGGCCAGGTCCCCAGGGCTGGGCCGCAGGGAGGGGGGTGGAGGGGAGCCCCTGCCCCGTGTGCTCAGCCCTCTGGGCGGCTGGAGTAGGCCCTGCCTGGCGCAGCCTGCGCTCTTCCTGCCCTGTTGGGAGGCCTGGAGCATGGGCTGACTGCCTCCAGTGCAGTCCCCAGGCCCCCTCTGCAGGGGTTGTGGCCCAGACCCTCCCCAGCCCAGGACAGAGACGGCTCTGGGTGTCTCCCTTCTCCGCGTCTAAGCCGTCATCTCATCCAGCGCCCTGAGCAGACCGAGTGGAGCAGTGATGATAATAAAATGTACTTCAGAAAGTGCTGTTTGCGCCTCGCAAGGAGGGCTCTTGGCAGGCTGGCCCCAGTGCCCCAGGCGGGCCCCATGGTCGCTGGACCTTTCCCCTGCCATCTCCTGCTCTGGCTGCAGCTGTGGCCTGCTCTCTCCGAGGGCAAGCACCTGGAGCTTGGGTGTTGGCCTCAGAGGTTCTGGGGCCCTCGGGGAGCCAGGCTTCTCGCCCAGTTCTCACCCCATGCGTGGCAGGGAGGCATATGGACTTGGTCCCCCGCCCTCACGAGCTACTGACATGTCACAGGTTTTCCCACTGACCACCCCACCGCCAACAGTAAGACTGGGCCCTGGGGGCTCCGGCTTCTCGCAAGGGAAGGGGGCTGAGCGGGGGGCCCCTGTGCCACCTTGGTCCACTGCCGGACACATAGGCCCCCACTCCATCCTGACACACAAGGCCAGGGAGAGAGTTTGCAGGATCCGTGTTCTAGAAGATGTTTAAAGTAACAGACTCAGCCCCTCCACCCAGGGTTTGGAGCCTGTCAGAGACCTCACGTCTCCAAGCCTCGCAGGCGAGCCCCGTGTCAGCTGTCTATGAAGGAAGGGACTAGAGTGTGCTAGATAAGGCATGGAGAGGGCTTGAGCTTGGGTTGAAGGCAGGGCCAGGGTGCTGAGGTGGTGGGCAGAGGGCAGCCACCTTCTCGGTTTGTTTTCACCTGGAGTTAGGTGGTTCAGACCTGGTTCCTCCCAGAAAACCGGGCGTTTGTGTGAGACCCCGGCTGGAAAAGGAGCCCCCACTTGGCTCCTTGTAAAGACCAAAGGCTCAGAGGCTTCACCACGTCCTTTGCCAGCAGGTGTGGGCCCTGGCAGGTGGGCTGGGAAGGGCCACGGCTGGGGGCTGGGTGCTGCGGACAAGGACTGTGCTGGAGCTTCCCAGACGCCCAGAGACGAGTGTAGGACCTGGACCGAAGGGGTAGCGTGCAGGGGCTCCAGACAGCTAGAGGCAGAAGCAGCCAGGTCTTCCGATGTCTCCTTTTCTCCCCGTGAACTGCTAGCTCTTCTCCCAGGAGCCCATTACTTGAACCCTTCGAAGCTCAAAGCCCTTCCTTGCAGCCCTTAGCAAAGGCTGTCACCAGGGGGCGTCCTCAGTCCCGCTGCCGCGCGGCCGACATACCCGGAAATGCCGGCTTGCTCCTGGGGACCTGAGATTAGGCTTTGCTCACGGTGGGTGGGAGGGTAGTGGGGGTGGTTGCTGGTCCAACAATCGCGTAGTTTTTCAGCCAGAGCTGGAGGCCTGCGTGTTTACAGAAGACAGCCGTTTAGGCGGACGAGGAAACTTCTGAGAGCGCGCGGAGTGCCCGCAGCTCCACACCGGGGTGCAAGCACAGGACACGGCACGAGGCTTTGGGCCTCACCTTCCTCCCTCCGGCTCGCTCTCCTCCTCGCTGGCATCAGACTCCTCTGACCTGCCCCTTACGTCGGTACGGACCTGGGCAGGGAGGAGGCACTGGGGTCATTCTCACCAGCCCGTGGTAACAAAAATGTGACTAACGAAAGCCTATCAGCCCCCGGGGATGCGACTAAGGGAACGTTTGGAGGCTTCGGGAAGAGGCCGGGAGAATCGGCCGAGGGAGCCCGGGTGGCCCTTCCCGGCCCAAATGTTCGGAAGGGGCAGGGCGGCACTGCAGACTCAGAGCGCCGAGCGTCCGGGGCCCAGTCGGCGCTGAGCCCCGACTGCGCAGGGAGCAGGCTGGCGAGTCCAGCCCCACCGCCTCGTCCAGCCCCCGGCGCCGGGTACGCTCCTGCGCCTGCGCGGCCCGCCCCTTTATAGGTAACCTCGGGGGCCCGGGAGGAGGCGAGCGCGAGGCGCGGCTAGAGCGTCTCTACCCGGCTCGCATACTCCTCAGGCCCAAGGGCTAGAGCGCCCCATCCCAGCTCGCATGTTCAGCGGCCCGGCGGCTAGAGCGTCCTCCTCCCAGGAACCGCGTGTGACCTTCCCGGCCGAGCACCGATGCTGCCGGTGGCCGCTCGCCCCCTATGGGGGCCGTGTCTTGGGCTCCGGGCCGCCGCGCTTCGCCTCGCCAGGTACCGCGGGCCGCAGCGGCGGCCGTTGGGGAGCCCGGGCACCGAGGGTCGGGCCGGCGGACAGGGTAGGGGCGGCGCGCGGCCCGGGCCGGGGCAGCCGGGCGCCTAGGGGCGCAGGTCCGGGAGTAGGCGGGCGGCGGGCGACCACCCTTGCAAGCGGCCCATGCTGGGCTTCGGCGGGACCCTCGGGGCCGTGGAGGGGGCGGGGGCCCTCCCGTGCCGACTCTTTCCTGCGCGGGCCGCGGAGAGCCGGGGCCCGCGAGGCTGCAGATCCGGGGTCGCCCTGGCACTGCCCCTAGGGACCTTGGCCAACTCCCTGCCGGTCTCCGGGCCTCAGTTTTCTCCGCAGCAAAGCGATGTGGAGGACTTCCATCCCCAGATCCGGCGTTTTGCCGCCTGGGGCCCCGCGTTTGGAAAGGCTTTGTGCAGCAACTGCATTTAAGGCGTTGATTTAACCCCAGCGGGTCGGGAGAGCCCCATTCAAACCAGAAACAACGTTTGAGATTGCATATAATATGTGGATTCCTAGAGCTTTTTGAAGGATTTAAAGTCACTTGGAAATCCTTTTGTTGGTGTGTCCCCCTGAGGTCTGGAACCCCAGATCGGGACCAAGGGGCTAGTTGATTCACCAGTTCACTGACCTCAGCTCCTGGCACCCGTCTGCCCTGTGGGTCTCTGCACCCAGTCCCCTACCTGTGCCAGGCCTGACCGACTCCGTTTCAACGGGGGGCTAGGCAACAGGTGCCCGCTGTCTGTGCTGCGCGGCAGATAAGGAGCAGCAGCCATCGCAGAGACGAGGCCCTTGCCGGCGCATCCCTGGACAACGCCCCCAAGGAGTACCCCCCCAAAATCCAGCAGCTGGTCCAGGACATTGCCAGCCTCACGCTCCTGGAGATCTCCGACCTCAACGAGCTTCTGAAGGTAGCAAGGAGCAGGCGGGGCTTGTTGGCAGTTTGTTCCTACATTTAGCATCTGAGGTGACGCTGCTCCCCTCTGTCTTGCAGAAAACGCTCAAGATCCAGGACGTCGGGCTTATGCCGACAGGTGTGATGCCGGCGGCCGCCCCCGCCGCCGCCGAGGTGAGCCTGGCCAGGGCCCTGGGCAGAAACGTTGCCACCTTCTTATGTTGTCCCCTATCTCTGGGTCGTGCAGCCAGTTTCAGTCTCTATGCAGCCTGCAATCTGTGCTTCCCGAGGGCGGTGCCCACGCCCTCCGTGGCCTCCCTGGGCCTCCTCCCTAGCTTGTTCAGTCCTTGCCCACGCAGAGACAACCCTTGCAGTGGAGAGAAACAGATGATAAGCCAGGAGGCACAGAGAGAGAGGAGTTATACTGTTTATCGCAGCGTTACAGGCGACAGGGAGAACAGTAAGAGAGGAGCTTAGAGCGGGGAGCTACAGTTTCAAGGAAGGGCTCAATAAGGCGGCGACGTTTGAGGGGAGACTGAAGGAATCACGAAGAGAGCTGTGTGCCTTCAGGGCACAGCGTTCCTGCAGAGGGCATGGCACACTCGCAGCCACGAGCAGCAGCAAGGCCAGGCTGGAGAGGAGGGTGCTGGGCAGCCCAGTCTGTGGGGCCTAGAGGCCACAGGGGGACGAGGGCCCAGGAGGTGGGCGCCAAGGCGGCGTGGGTGTCTTCAATGAAACCAGCTGACTTTAAAGCCTCAGGTTAATTTTTTTTTTCAATTTTTGTTACGAAAGATTTCAAATTTATACACAAGTTGATTAATATAATTAGCCATGTGCCCATCACCCAGGTGATACCATTATCAAGGTTTTGCCAGGTTTGCTTCATTTGTTCTTTGTGGCTTCTCCTGAGGTTAAAGGGAAATTCCTGGTCTCCCATTTCATCTTCGTGGGCTTTGGCGTGCTTTGCGGAATGCTGTTAGCGCGACTGTTGTCCGTTAGCAGTGGTTGGAGAGCCCATGATGCTCAGGTTCCTCCGATCCTCGCAGACTGCCTGTTAGCAGTTAGTGTATCTAAACCCAGGGAGACCTTGCAGGCTACACGGATTGTCGGGTCTGTTGAGGTTCTGTAACGGCAGTCCCTGCCCTCTCCCAACCGTCATCGGCTGGAGTCGGGCCCCACAGGGGTCCCAGGTCTGAAAGTGGCTGATGTTTCCATGAGGCGTGGTTTCATGGACTCATCGACCCCTCACCCGCACCCTGTGAAGTGGGCAGGGGCATTTTGGAGAAGATAAGTACCCTGTGATGTATCATCCAAGCTGGGACACTTGCGAATGGGGGGTTTCTGTTAGTATTATTGGCAACAGACCCAAGCCAGGGGTCCTCTCATGTCACCTCGAGAGCACGGCCACACCCCGGGGCTCCTCACTGGTCCGTGGGAGAAGGTGGCAAGCCAGGGAAACCCTGGTGGCGTAGTGGTTAAGAGCTACAGCTGCTAACCAAAAGGTTGGTAGTTCAGATCCACCAGGCACTCCTTGGAAACCACATGGGGCAGTTTTACTCTGTCCTGTAGGGTTGCTATGAGTCAGGATCGACAGCCGCACGTTTGGTTATTAGGTAAGCCAGAGCTTAGCCAAGGACCGCACGTGGTCTCCTGTAACGCTGCTAGCGCCGCTGTCCCCCTCACAAGTTAGGACACCTGAGGGACGAGGGGGTGGTCTGTAGAGGCAGGAGCCCTCGGGTGGTGGAGCAGCTCTGAACGCTGACTGGCGGCTGAGGAGGACAGCTCCTGGGCCTGCCCGGTGGTGTGCGTCCCTGAGATCGCAGGCTCTGCTGGGCTGTTGGAGTGGGCCGTTGGCCGGGCAGGCCCATCCCTATGAAGCTACCGGAAGGGTGCTGGGTGCCAGCATGTCTGCTTCACTCCTCCCTTTCCCTCCTTGTCCCCGCCGCCTGCCCCACCCTAAGGTGGCAGAAGAAGAAGACATCCCCAAGCAGAAAGAACGGACACATTTCACTGTCCGCCTGACGGAGGCGAAGCCCGTGGACAAGGTGAAGCTGATCAAGGAGATCAAGAACTACGTCCAGGGCATCAACCTGGTCCAGGTGAGGTCGGCACGTGGCCCTGGCCCGGGTAGGCTGGGTGGGGCAGCCCCCACCCCCGCCCCAAGCCCGCATGCCTGACTTTTATGCGCCCTCCTCCCCTCGCTGGCAGGCAAAGAAGCTGGTGGAGTCCTTGCCTCAGGAGATTAAAGCCAACATTGCCAAAGCCGAGGCCGAGAAGATCAAGGCGGCCCTGGAGGCGGTGGGCGGCACTGTGGTGCTGGAATAGCCCCGGCTGCGAGGACTGTGGAGGAGCCGCAAGGCCCGCCCGGCACCACGCGAGGCTGGGGTCCTGGGTTGCGGCGAGAACTCTTGGCACCGGGTGCCAGCCAGCCTCTGTTTGGGAGGGAGAAGCGGACCTGTGGGGGCGGGACGGCTGCTGCCCCTGAGAGCACGAGGGGGACGGACTCAAGGAACCCCGAGTCAGTGAGTGGGCTCTTGTGTGGCCGGCGGAGAAATACACTGTTGAGACTCAGCGTGTGCCATTCGTGTGCGTGGGATTGCTGCTGGGGGCCGCCTGGGCCCCCGGCCCCGCAGGACATCTGAGGGGTCCGCAGATGATAGGGTGCACAGCTGTGGCGGCAGTCTCAGTCTTCAGCAGGTGGGGGCTCTGGGTGGGCTCCCCGCCCTGCCGCATAGTGGCAGCTGCCATGTGGTCAGACACCAGGGCGTCACCCGCACCTGGGCCTGGATGCGTGTTTGACGTCTCCTGCTCCTTTGTCGAGTGGCAACTGCGGCCGCCTGCCCATCCAGGCCGACAGCGCAGCCCCCCTGGGCTGGTGGGAGGGTGGGCAGGCATGCACCTTGCACATGGAGGAGGGTGGCATGTACCCCACCCGGGGCAGTGTGGGGGATGCTTCACCACCCTGCAGTGGTTGGGAACCTTAGCTGTTCCACTGGCTGTTAGGGGGAGGGAGGGCTGGCAGGGGAGGCATGTGGCCTGGAGCAGGGGTGCTGGGCCTGCCAGCCTGCCTGGAGGAGCAGTAAGCCCCCATTTTCAGAACATTCTGTAAGGCCTCAGCCCTCAGGCTCATATGTGAAGGGGACGAGGAGGAGGCGCTGTGGGGACAACGGCAGACTCGGTGGGGCTCTCTGGGGAGTTGACAGGTCCCCTTGGGCTGTGGGCCCACTGCCCACCCAGGGTTCCCCCGCCACAGAGGGCTAGAGGAGCACGTCTCCAACTGAGCTGCCAGCCCCTGGGGGCCATTTCTGCCTGCAGATCCACAGTGACCGTTGGAGGGTTAATGATTGCCGATCAGCCCCAGGTGCCTTCCCTCAGCCCGCAGAACCTCCCCAGAAGGGAGCTGAGGGCCCTGCCACAGGTCCTCATCAGTATGGGGCAACGGCTCAGTGGGACTCCCACCTTGGGCAGCCACTCAGAACTGGGGTGGCCCTGAGACTTGGAGGACATTAGGTTCGCCATGTTGTGAGCTCATCACCCTTGGGGGCATGCACCCACCTTGAGCTGATGTCACCCCCAGGCTCTCTAGGTGTCCATCCCTGAAGGCCCCATGCCGGGTCTCCCCACTCTCATTTCCAGCTCTGCCAACCCTAACTGATGGTCCTGTTGACCTGGTCCACCCCCTACCCAGGGGACATGGGCCCTGTGGCCTCCTCTAACCCCGCCTCTGCTGGGCACCCCTTCTTACTCTGGGGCTTACGAATCTGAACCTATTGTAGAATCTGTGGGGGATCTTGAGTTCCCTGATGTAGTTCCATCTTCTCGGGAGAACGGTGCAGTTTCCCTGGTTCTGCCCGAGGTTCTGACGGAGCATTAACTGCCTTTTTCAGGCTTCCCAGAGTCCATCTGCCCCAGAGGTGCGGGCGCCGGAGCTGTGCTGCGCTTCCCGTTTTATCATCTCTGCAGTTCCCACCCTGGGCTCTGGGCTCTGCCCTTCCCGGGGGACAGCTCTGTGCAGGGCAGGCTTGCCCTCCATGGATCGAAGGTGTACTGCCTACCCGCAACAAGGCTTCTTGGGCCCTGCCTGGCCAGTGACCTAGGTGAGGGGTAGGCTGCAGCCCCGGCCTGGCCCTCTTCTTCCTGCGGGGTCACGCAATCTCCCTGGGGACTTGGTGGCCCTGTAGTGAGGAGCCACTGATGTGGGATCATCACTGACGCTTGGGTCCGTTCAGGCAACGGGCAGGACCTCAGGGGCCTTGGTACAGGACAGGATGGGCCGGGAAGAGGCATGGGGTTAGGGCCACGGTTTCGGTGACACTTCATGGACAAGGACAGGAAGCCACTGCTCTTAGCTTGCTCAGGAATTTCCGTAAACCAGGGACCACCTTTTGTGCCCAGACATGCTGATTCTTTTAACAAAGGACGGTCTTGTGTATCTTAGTCGCGACCCCATCTCCTTCCTCCCGCCTCGCCTCGGTCTGGGCAGTGTCTCCCACTCTCCCCTGCTGTTTGCTTCCCTAGAATCCCTGTAACCCTCCTGTGTACCCCCACACGCCCATCAGCTTCCAACTCCACATCCACACTGCCTTGGGAAGACCCTATCACCCCCCGAAACCAATGGGAGGGGCACTTGTCTTGGACACTGTCTCTTCAGCCGGCCGTTCAGTACCCCAGCCCAGACCTTCAGCGGACGACCTTGGGGTCGGGCCAGCCCCCACATGGTGGCCAGTACCCCTCACCCTGTGTGGGGCACACAGTCAGCCGCTGGAGAAGCAGGTCGCTGGGGAAGGGGCCCCAACCCACTGGCCCGTTTGATCAGGTGTTGCCCCCTCAGAGCACAGCCCTCGCGTGGCCTGCCCTGAAGCAGCTTTGGGAACTTGCGTTTCATCTTGTACATCTCGTGCCCGCGTTCACACCCACCTCCTTGTTTGTTGAGAAGCAGGATTAGCGGAGCCTGGAGGCAGGGGGGCGCCTACCTTTGGGGGAGTAATGTGGGCTCTAGCAGTTGGGCTGACAGCTCCTCCCAAGACCCCAGCACCCACCCTTGAGAAGCCTTCTTTGGGAAGGTCTGGCCCCCACCGTCCCAGCGGACCTCCTGGGCAACAAGGGCCCCGGGGGCCCCCTCCAGGTGGCTGCCTGGTTCAGCGTGGTAGTCGGCTGGACTTGGTCCGGAGGTGATAGCTTCAGTTCCGCGTGTATGTGTGAGGGGTAGTCTTTCCACATTGCCTTCCGCCCCCAGCCTTCATTTCATTCTCTGCTCCCCTTTCACAGCTGGTCACGCCCAGGCTGAGCCTCCCTCACGTACTGGGTGGAAGAGGTTGCAGACGCGTGGACACAGGCCCCCTATCGCGTGCCCCGCCTCGTGCTGGCTCCCTCCGCCGTCGTGACACCAGCCAGGGCCTGCCCGGCGGAGAGGGCGAGACTGGGTGCAAGTTCAGGGTTGCGCCTCCAGGGGGGTGGGACTGCAGGGCGCAGACTTGCGAGATCCCGGGCCGGTTCCCCAGCGGTGACCTTGGAGCCGGGCCCCAGGCGTAGGGTTGGCCCTGGGCGCGGGTCCGGCTGAGGGTGGACAGGGGACGTTGGCTTCTCGGACGGCATGGGGTGGCCCACCCATCAGGCTCCTCGCAGTCAGTGGGGTTCGCAGGGGCACGGCAGGTCCGAGGATTGCAGGGTCCCCGGGCTCGGTGGGGTCCCCGCGGTCGGGTGGGGCCCACCTAGCTCCGCGCTGGGCCGCGGCCGCTTTAAGGCGCGGGGCCCGCCCCGCGCTCGGGGCGGGGTCTCGACAGGCCCCGCCCCCGCCCCGCGCGGGCGCATTGGCTGCGCTTTGAACGCGGCGCGGAGCGAGCGGTGGACTCTGAGCACTCGGTACCGAGCGCCGCGGGGAGCACTTCGCACCCGGCTGGCACTGGGCCGGCCCTCTGCCGCATCTGGGCCATGGCGGCCGAGGCGCGCGTGTCGCGCTGGTACTTCGGGGGGCTGGCCTCCTGCGGGGCCGCCTGCTGCACGCACCCGCTGGACCTGCTCAAGGTGAGGCCGCAGGGCTGGGGCTGCTCCTCCCGCCGCGGCCCTGCGCGCCGGCCCCCTTGCGGACGGGCGGGAGACTCCCGAGACGGGGACGGACGCGCGGCCCGGGATGCCTCCTGGGGCTACAGCCTTCCCCACCCCGCCGGGGCGCACCTGGCAATTAAAGCGCGGCTGGGGACCGCCCACGCTGTCCTTCCCCGACCAGCACGGCGCGGCTTTCCTGGGCCCGTGTCCTGCTCTGTGCGGGAGGACCTGTGACCTTTCGGCGGGGGCTGTGGAGAGCCGCATCTCAGTTCCCCCCTCAGGAGACACCTCTAGCCGGTGCAGGGAAGAGAGTGGGGATATCCCCGAGGCTCTGCTCTCCCTGGGTGAAAGAATACCGGGTGCAGGGATGCCAGGCCTGGAGCCTCGAGTCACCTGCAGGTGGCGGCCGAGCCCACGACCTGGAGGGTGCAGTCCCCCTCCCCACCTTGCCGGTTTCAGCCCCAGGTGTGCGCCTCAATACCTGTGTGACCTTGGGCAGGGCTCCTGGTCTCTCTGGGCATCTGAGAACCCTTCTTCCGGGTTAAACACTGATGGTGGGGGTGGGGCTGTGTGTGTGGGGCGGTTAGGTGTCGGCTAGACATGGCCGGTGGGAGAGGGAACGCGGCTGGGTGAGTCGGGTTACCCAGGCACCCTGGCTTTGGGCTGCTTCCCGGCCACCCTTGTGGAGGAAGCTGAAGTGGGTAGTGGGTGGGCCCAGGCAGGGACGTTATGACCAGAACACCCCGAGAGCTGCACTCACATTTTTTTTTTTTTTTTTTAAGAAAAAAAGGCATATGTGGTAAACTCAGACAGAACCTCCCTTGTCTCTCAGACCAGCTGAGAATGTTTTCTGACCCTTTTTAACCACAGAGAACAAAGAAGAAAGGCCTGGGACTTTAAAACAGCAGAATCCAGCCAGGAGTCCCTGCCCGTTCACCCTAGACTTGTGGTCAGTGGGGGCCTGTGGGCGAGGGGCAGCCACCCTCCCACCCCTCCCTCACCCCCACCAGGCCCCTCAGAAGGACTGCCCCTGTGATCAGGCTTCCTGGCTCCTGGGTTCTTCCTGTTAGTACAGTCTGACCTGGAGTTGACCCAGGCCTGGCCTCCTGCCTGAGGGCCTTTATTTCAGCAGCCTTTTCCCTAAGGAGGCCCTGGGTGGCCCTGCTAACCAAAAGGTTGGAGGGTCAAGTCCACCAGAGGCACCTCGGAAGAAAGGCCTGGTGATCAGCCATTGAAAACTCTATGGAGCACAGTTCTACTCTGACACACATGGGGTTGCCGTGAGTCAGAGTTGGCTCCACAGTTTTTTCCTAAAAGGAGGACATTAGCTTTTCTAGTTAGTAAAGATGCTAGCCATCAAGTAAAGGCCAGATGTGGCAGGTGTGGGGTGGGGGCAAAGCTCGTGGCCCCATTCA